GGGACCCCCCCGCGGGGACGTCCCCCCCGCGGGATTCCCTAGCAAGTAAGAGTAGCTGCGGCAGCCATTGGATCTCTAAGCGGAGATCGCGTTTTTTCAAGAGACTTTTTGCTCCAAGCGGAGACTTCCTTTGACTTCCTTTCATTATCAAGACGCCTGTTTTTACTCCACGTTTACTTGAGAGACTTTCTTTTACTTCAAGTGGAGATTCCTTGGTTGAAAGACTCCTTCAGTTTAATAAGTATTGGCACAGTACTGATACCGATGACAGTACGATCTGGCCAGAATGGACCCAGCACACACGAGCCAGGATGGGGCAGAGACCGTCCCTCTGTCCCAACAAGACTCTAATTGTGGCCGTCCAGGGTTTGTGCACTGCTTTCGCCACACAGGATCAGAGGGTGGCTGCACTCACTGCCCAGGTGCAACAGCTCACTGTTGCTCTGACTCAGCCAGTCGCCTCGCCTCCATCGCCACCTTCTAATCTGGGGGTTACCACTTCCTCCTCGCCCCTCCACGGTCTAGGTTGGGAGCCCAAGGTGGGCTCTCCGGAGCGCTACGCAGGAGATCCTGAGGTGTGTGGTCCGTTCATCACCAACTGCAGCATCCTGTTCGCCCTCCAGCTGCACACTTTTGCAACGGAGGCAGCGAGCAGCATCCTGTTCGCCATCAACCACCTTACAGGGAGGGCTTGGTTGTGGGGAATGGCAGAGTGGGATCTCCAGACCCCAGCCTGCACCTCCTTTTTAAATTTTTTGCTTGCTGGAGGTTCGTCAAGGGACAGGCTCCGTCTCGGATTATGCCATTGACTTCCGCATTAAGGCGAGGCAGAGCGAGTGGAATGAACCTGCTTTGTGCTACGCTTTTCTCCGGGGTCTGAACTCAAGCATCAAGGACGAGCTGGTTTCACATGATCTCCCCACGACTCTGGACGCCATCATTGAACTTACCTGCCGCATTGATAGACGCATTCAGGCGAGGCACCAGGAGCGGCGTTTTTCTGCAGAGTCGTCCGCTGATTTGGAGCCTGTGCGCCAAGGCCATGAGAAGACCCCTGAGCCGATGCAGGTGGGTCGGACCCGCCTCTCTCCCAGGGAGCGGAATCGCCGTCTCAAGGGGAGTTTATGTCGGTATTGTGGCGAATCCGGAGATTTCTTTTCCAGATGTCCAGTAAAAGAGCAGGCTCACCAGTAGAGGGAGGAATTCTGGTGAGCCCAACGAAGTCTTCCTCCCTTCCACATCCATATATGGCTGCTCAGCTAGTAGTTGCGGGGGAGGCCCATCCTGTCAAAGATTTCAAAGACTCTGATGCCAACATAATGGACATCCAACTGGCAAGACAGTTGGGACTAGGGGGTGACCCATTACCCGATCCGACCCCAGCTCAGACATTGGACGGGAACATCTTGGGAACCGCCACCCACTCAACCGGGCCTGTTGGGCTCTCGAT